AACCCCTCCCCCCCCCCCCCCCCCTCCGGATCCGGAAAACCGAGGGGGGGTCACTACGGTTCGAACCTCCCCCCCCCCTCCCTCCTCTACCCGCACCGCCAGCAAACGACTCCCGGTCACCACAACCGTCCGCACACACCCCCCTGGTGTTTTTTTCCCAGCACCACTGTCCTCACCACCACTGTCCCCACTGGTTCCACCACCGCCCCTACTGTCCCCACCAGTGGCCCCACCACTGTCGCACTGTCCCCGCTGTCCCCAGAACTGTTCCCACCACGGTTCCACTCTCCCCACTGTCTCCACGGCCCCAACCACTGCCCGACTATCCCCACTGTCCCCACTGTCCCACTGACTCCTCCGCTGTCCCACTGAGCTGTCCCACTGTTCCCACCACTGTCCCCACTGTCCCCACCACTGTCCCCACTGTACCTCTGTCCCATTGTCACCACCGCCGTCCTCGCCACCGCTTTCACCACTGTCCCCACCACCATTGTACCCTCCACTGTCCCACTGTTTCCACCTCGTTCCCATTGTCCCCACACCACTGTCCCCACCACCACCGTCACCACCACTGTCCACTGTCCCCCCCTGTTCCCACCATTGTCCCCACCACTGTCCCCACCACTACCGTCCCCACCACTGTCCCACTGTCCCCCACCACTGTCCCGCTATCCCCTCACCACTGTCCCCACCACTACCGTCCCCACCACTGTCCCACTGTCCCCCCACTGTCCCCACCACTGTCCCGCTGTCCCCTCACCACTGTCCCCACCAACACCGTCCCCACCACTGTCCGCACCCCCACTCGGTTTTCGAGGGGGGGGGGGCGGGTTCGAACCGGTAGTGACCCCCCCCCCTTTTCATGATGAACTGGGGGGGGGGGGGAGGGGTTCGAACCGGTAGTGACCCCCCCCGGTTTTCCGGAGGGGGGGGGGGAGGGGTTCGAACCGGTAGTGACCCCCCCCGGTTTTCCGCCAGCAGCGGTAGAACACGCTCTTTCTCATCTAATCTCTCATCATCATCATCATCATCATCATCATCCATCATCATCATCATCATCATCATCATCATCATCATCATCATCATCATCATCATCATCATCATCATCATCATCATCATCACATCATCATCATCATCATCATCATCATCATGACCTCACCGTTACCATCACCATCACCATCACTGTCATCAACATCATCATCATCTTTATCATCATCATCATCATCATCATCATCATCATCATCATCATCATCATCATCATCATCATCATCATCATCATCATCATCATCATCATCATCATCATCATCATCATCATCATCATCATCATCATCATCATCATCATCATCATCATCCTCCCCCTCCTCCTCCTCATCATCATCATCACCATCACAATCACCGTCACCATCACCATCACCATCACCACCATCATCATCCTCCTCATCGTCGGAAACCACCGACAAGCTGGACTGGCACGGGGGCGGACTTTCCTCAGGCAACTGGATACATCTGCCTGTATGTATATACATATATATATACATACATATGTAAAGAACGTCGATCCCTCGCCAGACCCATCCTGGGCCCAGGCTCGACTTGGTCAAGATCGGTGCAGGTGTGTAGAGAATGACCTCCAATGGTCTGGACCCAGCTGGCACCCTGGCCCCCAGCCCAAGCTTGATCTGGCAGTTTTGCTGACAGACCAACCAAATAGACTCCATCTACATGGTCATGGCTGGCAGCAGTGCTGCCGGCTTCAGCGTCCCTCGGCCGCTACGCCCATCATCGGGTACCGATGTGAGACAGTGAGAGTCAAAGACCTGCCCGTGGGGCGTCACAAAAGTGAAAAAGATACGCCGGTTCTATGTAGTGGTCATTGGCAGCGCGCACAAGGGGGTGGAAGGAGGGGGGAGGGCTTCTTTGAAGGAGGCTGCTTCTTAGAAAGCGCCGGCCTTCCATCTGTAGAGAAGGGCCGCGCCTTCTAAGAAGCAGGGGTGCTTCTAAGAAGCCCTCCCCCCTCCCCCCACCCCCGTCTGCGCGTGGCCGAGGTCAGTCATCTTAGTTTCATCGCAGCTAGCTACTCGTCGCAGTTACCGAGAAAGGCGACGATATCGTCGGAGGAGGGCCAGCTCATACGACGGCGGCTCTCCCGCCCGGGCCAATCTGCTAAGAATCGGTCACTGGATCCCATCAGGTGTCCATCCGTCTGACCTGATGGGCCCATTATCCACCACGTCTACCATAGGTAGGAGAGGGAGGAGGAGGAGGAGGAGGAGGAAGAGGAGGAGGAGAAGGACCTCCTCATCCTCCCTTCTCCCCCGTCATGAATATGGAATTGGTGGTGGAAAACTTGCCCATCATGACCTGAACCGTTTCTCAACGCGGATCTGGCCGTGGCGAACCTGAGATCCGACGCTGCGAAAAAAAATACAGCATCGCGAGAAATCACGGCTGGAGCTCTGGACCCGTTCTTTCTGCGGCATTTGTCAAACCGGACCGATCTGTGCTGGTCCTAAGGCCCGAGGCTGTGCGAAAGAGCGCCTGGCGTGAAAATTGCTACGCCCAGATCATCAGGCAACAAGGAGCCTCCAGGCCTCAAAAACATTAAGAAAAGCGCCAGAACACCCCCAAATGTCATGCTCTGTTCAAACGTCGACCCCCAGAAATCTCGACCCACTCCCCAGGCCAGGCTTTTCGTCCCGAGCAGTTTTTGACGGCCGCGAGGCCTGGCGAGGAAAAAACCGGAGGCAGCCAGCTACGAAAAACCTCCATTGCAATTTTATCACGACGCGAGTGGGTCTAGTCAGTGTCGAAGACTCACAGAACACCTTTTCGGCAAAATTTGTCAGCGCGCGCAAGGGGCAGGGAGAGGGGGAAGGCTTCTTAGGAGGAGGCTGCTTCTTAGAAGGCGCCAGCCTTGCATGTATGCTTCTTTAGCTTCAGAGGGCGAGGCCCGCGCCTTCTGAGAAGCAGGGGTGATTCTGAGGAGCCTTCCCCCCTCCCCCCTACCCCCCTCTGCGCGTGGGCGACAAAACCCTTTCCGAGCACTGCGTATAGAGTTACTCGTATGGACTTTGCATCTTCCGAGTGGGGAGGGCCGCCGCTGCTTGGAGGCTACTGGGGGGTCTGAACCAGCTGGGCCCCGGGAAAATCGGTCAAGAGGTGGGAGGCGAGGGCAGCTCCGTTCCAGATCGGTCCCTGGACCCCTCCCATGTCCACCTGGTGGAGTTTTTCGCCGAGGATCCGTTTTTGACGATCCCGGGAGCCGAAAACGGCCCTCGGAGGCCGACACATGCCAACAGCCTGCCCACACCCCACACCGCCTGCCCCCCCCCCCCCCTTCCTGCTGGCCGGAACCAGTGCTGGGCCGCCCTCCTCAGACCCCAAGCCGTCCCCGAACCAGGACACTCCGCGCAGCCTGCCGTCTCCAAACCAGTCTCTCCTGCCCAGTGAGCCGATGCAGATTCCCATGCCCGAGGGTGGGGGGAGCCGCCGCTGCCTCCTCCGCTGGCCCTCCTGCGAGGATGGAGCGGCGCCGGCCACGGTGGCCCAGCACGAAGCGCCCGCTGCGGCGGGAGGGCAGGGCGCTTGCCACTGCTTTCTGCCGAAAGCGGCATGCGGCGGAGAGGTGGCGCGAGAGGTACCCTGGCGCCAAGACCAAATATTTCCCGTGTCGGTGGCAACAACCGTGGCCGGCCCGGCCCACCCCCCTTCTTCACCTCCCCGGTGGCGCCACGATCCGCACTGGCGCCGTCTGGGAACGGGCCATTCTGAGGCATTCCCAAACGGCTCCAGCGCGAATCGTGACGTGACTGTCCCCCTCCCCCCTCCCCCCCCCGTCACGCCCGTGATCGCCAGGGAACAAAAACTGCTTTCGGTGGCGGGGAGGCGGCGAGAGGGGTACCTTGGCCTCAAGCGAGACCCTGAGAGCTGGGCATTGCATTTTTCATACCGGGCTTTTTCGCCAAGTTTCGGGTCCCGGGGCCATTGATCCGGTTCGAAAAATGATGCAAAAAGATCAGATCTGGGGCGCTGGTCGTGACTGCATGTTGCAATGTTTTAAGCCTGAAAAGAAGCCCAGATCTCCGACGAGATGTTATTTCAACCCAGGCGTTTTCCCTCGATTTCGGCCCTCCGGTGTCAGCGGCAGATGGAAAAATCAGATCAGCGGATGTCTGAGAAAGGGTAGGCATCTCCTGGGAGGCCTTCGTAGAAGGCTAGCAGGCCCAATGAAGGGGCCACCAGGCCGGATTAGCTTGGATTGAGCCACTGGGATTAGGCCGCAGTCCGCGGGATTCAGCAAGATAAAACTGGAGTACGTAAACCAGACTGGGCTGGTTTGCGCCCACGGATATACCAGCGCCGATGCCGACTGTAACCTTGCAAAAATTGTATCCAAAGAAAGGGGCACCTTGCATAATCCACCAAGCAGGAGAGTCGACCGCAACCAAACGAGAGGTGGCATTAGATTAATCATCACTCCTACCGGCCGCAGACAGGTGCCGCGGCCGACGTCAGCGGCGTGCGCGGAGAGCGTGGAATGGAAGAAGAGAAAACATCCCGGCGCCGGACCCGAGAGGATCGCGTGCTTTACTTCGATCACGTATGTTTGTGCAATTCTCTCTTCTTCGATGTTCCCAGACCTCCGACGTCTTGAGTTTCTCAATGCGCCCCCCCCAGAAACCCCCAACATTTTCCCCAGGGCTGGCTTTGAATTCTGAGTCGCTTTTTCACGCAGGTCACCTAATTTCGCGCGTCGCGCCATGCAATGCGCGACACGCGGTTATCTTCGCGCCCTTGCGCCGCTGGCCTCTCTGGCCGAGACCGCGACGCGCGAAGCGCGATGATCTTCGACCTCCTGCGGGTGACCTGATTGACGGTCCCGGGGCCTGGCGAGGGCCCCAGGACGCCAAAAACGGAGAAAAACTTCCGCATCGAGTTTTTTGAAACGTTGAAGGTCTGGGTCTGATCGACCCGTACGGCTCCGCTGCACCCGAAGAATATCAAATGGCCTCGGCCTCGGGAGGGGCGTTGGTCCGCCTGCAGACGGGGCACCTTAGACTGGCGTCCCCCGCCCGCCGCCACCAGCCGTCGATGCAGCCAGGGTGGAACGCGTGATCGCACTCCAGGCGGCGGCAGAACTCGCCTCAGGCCGGACGGCAGCGGAGAGTCTCACCAGCCGTTTACGGCGCGAGTTGTTTAGACGATTCCTGTTCCAACCCCTTTTTCCCATTCAAACAAAAGGTTTGTCATTGCTCCCTATCAATCTTCATCTCCCCCATCCGAAGAAGAAATTCTCCGATAAACTAATACATTACCCAGTAAACTGAAACACTCCCGGCTTCTCAAGAGCTTCCGACGAGCTTCTGAGCCTGATGGTTTTTTTGATGAGCGTCTCAAGAGTGGACCATATGCAGAGCATCTGATATGATTCCGAAGAGCCTCTCAGGAGCTTGTGAAGATTTTATGAAGAGGTTGGGCGGGGGCTGCGCGGACCCTCTTAACAATTTCCAAGGAGCATATGAAGTATTTCTGGGGGGCATATGAGGAGTGTATGACGAGCTTACGAGGAATGTCTGAAGAGCCTCTCAAGAGCCTCTGAAGAGATGTTGGAAAACTTCAGAGAAGCTTCAGAAGAGCCTCTGAAAAGCCTCTGAACCTGCGAGGAGCTTGTGAGTATCTGCTGGGGCGCCTTCGAGCAGCGTCTGAGGAGTCTTTGAGAGGCATCTGAAGAGCCTATGAAGAGTTTCGAAGGAGCCTCTGAAGAACCTTCGAGGAGCGTCTGACATGCATTTGAGAAGCTTCCGGAAAGCTTATGAAGAGCCTCTGGGGAGCCGCTGAAGAGCCTCCAAAGATCCTTTGAACAGTTTCTCAACAAGAGCTTCTGAAGAGCCGCTGTAAGACCTCTGAATAGCATCCGTTGACCATCTCAGGAGCTTCTGCGAAACCACTGCGGAGCCTCTGGGACGTCAGATGTTCTGTTTTTCTCAGATCAGTGTCAAGCAGTCAGGTGGGGGCTCTTGTTGCCGCGCTTGGCTTCCCTGCGAATTCTTGGCCAAGAGGAACCCAATACTTTTCCAGATGGAGCCGGGGACACTGACATCCAACATCAGGGAAGAATCACCGCAAATGTTTTTCTCCATTGACGGCGTCAATACAGATACGACAACCACCACCACCACCACTACTACAAATACTACTACTACTACTACTACTACTGCTACTACTACTACTACTGCTACTACTACTACTACTACTGCTACTACTACTACTACTACTACTACTACTACTACTACTACTACTACTACTACTACTACGACTACTACTACTACTACTACTACTAAAACTACTACTACTACTACTACTACTACTACTACTACTACTACTACTACGACTACTACTACTACTACTACTACTACTACTACTACTACTACTACTACTACTACTACTACTACTACTACTACTACTACTACTACTACTACTACTACTACTACTACTACTACTACTACTACTACTACTACTACTACTACTACTACTACTACTACTACTACTACTACTACTACTACTACTACTACTACTACTACTACTACTAGGGTCAAACTTCACCTTCGTGTCTACTAGGAATGAATGGGTAAGGGTAAGGGTTCGGGTTCGGGTTCGTGCTCGGGTTCGGGTTCTACACAATCATATAAAACCCAATAGAATGACATAGAATAGTCGGATTTTAATCGTACACGAAGCAGAAGTTCGGAAACCCACAATTTCGCCATTCGCTGATAGGAAAACAATACAGGGACTATATACCTAATAGTACACGAAAATGAAGTTCGGAAGCCCACTGATTCCAATAGTACACGAAGAAAGGATTCGGAAACCCACAATTTCGCCGTTCGCTCGTAAAAAAAATAGCCTGGCGAAGGACCCAACCATATGAAGTTGCGAGTACCGCAATTGTGAGTATCTTCTTCGGTGGCGCTCCCTATGGGGCCACGAACCGTATGAGGGGTGTGCCGAACTGTGGCGGGGTACACAACGCAAAGGAATACGATAAGTTTGATTACGAAAGAATAAACGCGGGTGAGTCAGGGCGCGAGTGAATCTGAATGTGAATGGGTCTGCGTGCGAGTATATTTGCATGAATGCGATCAGGGCTACGCCTAACGTGAATGTAAATGAATGTGACTGGCTCGAGCATGCCTGTCCGAACACTCGTGACACTGGGCGTGGCCGCCGAAGGCAGCTTCCGCGGGAACCCCCACGGCAGCGCCCGCACGCCGCGACCCACATGTCGGCGCGCCCCTTGCGAGGATCGCGCCCGCTTTCGCGCGTTCTTTTCCTTCCTCTTTGCCCGCGCATTCCAAAAATCCAAGGCTGCGGGCGCGGCGCAGCGCGGAGTCCCCGCGACGCGCGCCGGTCGCTCCAGGCGGGGTCCCAGCGACGCGCGCGGGTCGTCCGCTGCGCGGAGCAGAGAGAGCTGGCTAGCTAACTGGCTGGCTGATAGCGGGCAAATCTCTGACCGCTGGGCAGAGCGACGATAGGCGAACGAGGAGCCGGGCGGCCCGCAGCACGGAGTTCCCGCGACGCGCGCTGGTCGCCCCGAGAGGGCCCCAGCGACGCGCGCGGGTCGTCCGCGGCGCGAGGCCAAACAATTAGTCGGGCAGTCGAGAGAAGGCGCGGCTCGGGGGAGACGCTCCTCAGGTCAGGCCTCGCGGATAAACTCGGTGAAGCCGAGCTCCCTGGCGAGGGCCGTCGCCTCCCTCCTGCACCGCTTCGTGCGCGCCGCAAACTGCTCCAGCTGCCTTCGCAAGCCCTCCGGCGGCCCTGCCAGGGAGAACTCGATGCGCGGCGCCCGCATGAGCAGGAGGTCTACCGTTCTACCACCACGACGCTGGCGCGCCTCTCAGCCGGCGCCAGCGACCTGAGAATCGCGGTGGACGACTTCAGGAACGTGAACCCGCGGACCACGCACTTCCTCACTCGATGAATCATCCTCTTGATCTCCTCCAACTTGCGGCGGCCCACCGCCTCTGGGTTGAAGAAGAGCACGCGCCCCCCCACGGCGGCGGGGGCGCCGGACGTGCACGAACAACGGAAGGAGAAGTCGTCGCCCACGCGCAAGCTCACTGCGCAGGGCACCAAGTCAAACCCATCCCGGACAAGACCGGGAAAGTCGACCGCCTGCGACGCACACCCGGGCACCTGGACGAGCACGATGTTGATGGAGCGAATCAAGCGCCAGAGATCGGGCGGACAATCCTCCGGCAGCCGGGGGCGAACGACGACCGACCTCAACGCGCGGTAGCCCGAGCGGTGGCGGTCGGCGCGCCGCGGGAGGACCAGGCCACGGAGCTCCTCGAATGCCTCGGCCGCCGCGGCAGCCTGCGCCGCCTCGAGCTCGGGTGGCAGCGGCGGCAGCCCAACATCCACGGCCATGGTCGCGCGCATCTCAGCCGCGCGCCCGGCGTCCTCGTCCTCGTCAGAGGAGGAGGAGTCGTAGAAGAGATGGGTCGCCTTTCTCAACCGGCGCTTCAGTGGGCGCAACACCCCGCTGTCGCAGGCGTCGGCAATGAAATCGACGCGCTTCTCTTCGGCGACGAAGATGTCGATGTCATTGGGAGACCAGTCGCGCTGTGCACCGAGCTTGTTCATCAATATCGCGGCCCCGGCGCTGCCGGCCAGAACGACCCGAGCCTCGCTGCCCATGACGTGGCGCAGGAAGCCGCGCACGAGCATGTCCGCGCGGCACATGGCCTTACTGGTAGCAGGGGCAAGCAAACGGCGCAGAGCATGGTCGCAGGTAGGCACCCACGCCATCCCGCGCAGGTCCCCAGAACGCAGACCTTCGACCCATCCGATAGCGTCCGCGCGAAGCGAACGCCACAACGACCCCCAAAAAACAATCTCAAAATAATCGCGATGGTCTTGTCTTTCTACGCACTCGAAAACTCTCCACGCACGCGCGGCGCACCCCATCTACCTGGCAGGACTTCTTGCAACGCCTCCAGGATCTCTTTGCCTACTCCTGCCCCTCCCCCCCCCTCCCCCCCTCTCCTCCCCACCTTCCGTTTCCTCCTCTTCCCCCTCCTCCTCCCTCCCCACATCCTCCTCCTCCTCCTCCTCCTTCCTCTCCTCCCTCTCCTCCTGCTCCTCCACTCTCCTCCTCTCTCCTCCTCTCTCCTCTACCCTCATCCACCATCCTCCTCCTCCTTCTCCTCTTCCTTTTCTCCCCTCCTCCGCCCCCCTCCTGCACCTCCTCTCCGTCCTCCCCATCGCCCTCCCCCCCCATCCCCTCCCCCCCCCCCCCCTCCTCTCCCTCGCCCCCCCCCCCCCCCATCTCCCCCCCCCCTCCCCCCCCCTGCCCCCTCATCCCCGCCCTCCTCAAGACCCCGCCCGCTGAACCCCAGGAGCCCTCGAAAACGGCGTCTGCTTTTGAATTTGCACCCCCCAGGGCCAGCGAGGCAGAGCTATCTGGGTTCGGCGGACGGCCACGCAGGGGTGCATCGCAAGCGCGGCCAGCTTTGCGGCGCACCTCGGGCGAGGTCTACGCCCCCGTTCTCGCCCGCTTGGTCGCGGGCAGCGCGGGGCTCGCGCGCGCGGGCGAATCCCCGGCGGCGCCCGCGCTCGGCCTGGTCGCGCCCGTCGCTGGCGCTCTTGTCGCCGGCGGGGGCGCTCCGAGAGAGGCAGGCGCTGACGGCGCCGGCGAGGGCGCCGCCGACGCTGCCGCGCGTGGAAAGCAGGCCGGCTGGCGCAGAGCGGCTGCTTCAGCTCCCTCGCGGCCGCGCGCTCGGCTTGTCGTCGCCGCTGGCGCGCGTGCCCTTGCCCGCCTGCGTGCGCCGCCCACGCCGATCTCGTCGAGCCTATCAATGATCTGGCGCAGAGCGTGCTTGTCCTCGGCCGTCTCTGAGTCTGCCTCCCGGAGGGCGTCGAAGACGTCGGCGTCGTCGTCGTCTGCGTCGGGGAGCGCGGCGCGGGCTCGGAAGCGGCCCTGGTTGTTGCACACGATGTTGCCGATTTTAGAAAATTCGCAGCAGCGGAATTGCGCGCGCAAGTCGTCCGCCTTCACCCAAGAGCCCAACCGGTCAGCAAGCCGCTTCCAGAAGCTCTTCTCGAGAGGCAAGCTGGCAGTGGCCGCGTTCGACCGTCGCT